CTGAAGGGTTGTGAATTTAATGGTCAGAGACAAACACTGTGTTTCAATATTCCAGGAATATTCTAAAGGCAGAGGGTAAATTGTATATAATGGTCCTAAAGTGCTTTTCGCCCAGAAAATCTGCCGTTCATTGTATCCATGTTCTTCTGCAGTGGCACAGCTTTTATTTGGCTGGCAACTAAATTGAAATTAAGTTTTATTGGCTGCCAGCAGAAAACGAAAGTCCAACTTTTGATTGGATTTTTTTTTTTCTGTAAATGCTTTATGGGTGTTGGCTGTTCTGTATGTGGTAAACATTCTGATAAATTAACACTATTTCTGAACGAGCTTTAGATATTTGTTTCTTACTATGTTTTGTATTATATTTCACTTATTTTCCAATACTTTTATTTGTTTTGGGGCTTCATTTTAAATATTATTGCTATATTTTTAGCATTTCATACAATGTTTTGCTATGTACGTGTTATTCTTTTCATTTATGGATTTTGTTAGTTTGAAGAGAAAAGAGGAATTTTACATAATTTGTCATTTTAATGGGACAGAATTCAAAGTGGAGTCAGTCAGAGCCCAGAGGTCAAACTCTTGACTTTAAGTCGTTATTCTTCTTTTTGATCACATTGCTTGCATCAAATTATATCATAATTTATAAAATTGAGTTAACATCATATTTAGTAAAAGTGCTGTAATTGTCAATGATCAGATATTAGCTTTCACGGACACAGATCTAACGAGACGGTAGTCGGCGTCTGAGGTCACCCTGTGGCCTAGTGGTTACAGAACTGTAGGGTTGCTGGTTCAAATTCCAGCCCAGGTGTAGTGTGTTGAGCGCAGCCCACTCCTCCTGTGTGTGTGGGTACATGTGGATAAAGCTGCCTGTTTGACTACAAGGAGGTGAGAGACAAGGTGGGATGGAGACAGATGCTTGGCTGTGGCACAGGGTGAGGGCAGCCGCTGCCAAACGAAGAAGTGAAAACGACGGCCACATACTGTGGTAATGAACCATGAAAATGTGTGCATAATATTTTTTCTATCATTCCTGGTGAGCATAGTAAAACAGACAGCAAAACCTCAGGTTAACAGAGTTGTTCAGTCACAGCTCTCCACACTCTGTCCCAGACAGAAAATTGGGATTGGGAGGGTTGTGGTCCAATTACTCCCAGTGAGAGAAGAAAAGGCCACGTTGTTTTCTTCACTGTGTGTTCACTGTTTGTCAGTGCTGGGAGTGTGTGCGTGTGTGTGTGTGTGTGTGTTTCTTGGAGTGTAATGGCTCTGTGGCTTATATGTTTTTTTTTCTCAGGGTAGCCCACTGAGGCAGAAAGTAGCCAAACTTTTACAGGCCCTTAAAGGGGTGTTGTCAATTAAATAATGCTTCAGATTAAATTGGTATTTTATTTAACGTGTAAAGACTTTAATGTCAAAAGTTCTTCTCGTGTGTAGTCTTTTGTATGAGTCTCTGGGGCTAAAATTTCCAACAACTGACTTTTTTCTTTCTATATAAATAAATATTTTGTTTTATTATTATCTTTATTATTTTAATAATAATAATATATTTTTTAGATATATATATTAAAGAAAAAGTGGCCATTATTTGACATTTTTCTGTAAAAAGACACAATGAAAATCTGAAGCCCCATTAGGGATTTTTTTAATTATTATGTAACAAATGTTTTCTATGTACTTAATTAACTTAACTTAATATTTGATGTGTTTTTTTTTCTAACGTTAAACTGGCTTTTTTTCTCTTGAGTTTGTTTGAGTTTGAACTCACACCCGAATCATCCTGGGTAAATTCGACAGAAAATAGAGTTCCCCGAAAGCCACTGAGATTCTCCCTCTGAGCATGAACTGGCCGAGCATTGGCATTTATACCAATGAAGGGAGGGTACGTGTGTGTGTGTGTGTGTGTGTGTGTGTGTGTGTGTGTGTGTGTGTATGGGCGGGTGGGGTGTCCAGAAGTAACCACATGCAGTGCTGTGTTCGGCCGATTGCTGCGTTTAAGTGGCACCTGGTCACTGCCAAAACAAGCAAAGCTCTGTGTACATACGTGTGTGTGTATGAGAGAAAAAGGGGGAGGGAGGAAGAGAGAGAGAGAGACATGAGATACATGTGTCACCATGCACTTGTGGTCAAGTGTGTTGCTGCTAAGTGCCACTGTGTGATGGCCAAAACAAACAGATTTAATGAACAGCAGCTCCCACAAAAGAGTGAGAGAGAGAGGCGGGGGGAGGGGGAGAGAGCGAGAGATGGAGGAGACCCAGGAGACCCAGGGCCAGGCCAAACCCACTGACCTGGCTGTCACTCTAATGTGGCTTAAAGGATGCTGTGTTCTCCTCCTACTGCAGGACAGTCATCACCTTCACCAGCCTCAACCGTCCTCACCTCTGTCTCTCCTCCAATCACTTTCTGTCATTGACCTTCACCCTTCTGTTGACCACTGCGGTGTGTTGGGGGGATGTGTGTATTAGTGCTAGATGGGGGTGGGGGGGTGGTATCAGAATGAATGAATTCAATGAGCAGTAAATCTGTGAATGTGTGGTAAAATGTGTCACCTGTCATCATGGCTGCCAATTACAAAAAAAAAACGACATGACAGAGGTCACAGGTCAGAGTTTATAAACAGTTAAATCTCCAAACTTTAGAAAATGTCTTCTCCGTGTTCACTGCAGCAGCAATGTCCAAAAAATAAAAATAAAAGTGACTGTCCTCATCCTTGTGTGTCCTGTGTACTATCATCGGCATGCACACCATAGTTTGAGAACCACTACTTTTCCTTGACTCCCCCTGACTTGTCATTAAGAAGACAGTGCTCTGGGGCGATCAGCAGCTTTCTCAGGGCATTAGTTCTCAAATTCTGTTAAAATAAACAAACTAATTGAGGACAGAGTGATGGCAGTGATGCCTTCATGGTCTTATAACAGAAAGTTCCAAGCACCTTACATCACCAACAGCTGTGTTTATCCCAGTTTTATAAGGTCTGTGTAGATTCTCTTTCATTCTTTCACTCACAGTTTGTCAATCGTTGTTGGTCGTGGATTCTTTCTAGAAAACCATCCACTCACCTTGAGTTTTTGACCAGTATAAAATACATATGATTTACACATACAAATGCATATTCACCGGTAGATAACCAAGTTGAGGTAAGTTGTTATTTTGTTATCAAGACCTGGCGTGAACTTTGCATCAGAGGGGAACAAAGATCATGTGGTTGGTGCAAGTTTATATAATCTGTGGGGGAAGGATCCGTGTTGGTATGAATGTACTATGGTCTGTCCTCATTGGTCCAGAATTCAATGACAGTATTTTTGTTGGAAAATACTATTGTTGTGTGGATGCCCCTTAAGAGGATAGGATCAAAGGTCCCGAACGAATGAAAGGGTTTTCTCGAGGATCACCATTTAGTTTGAAGTGAAAGCAAGAAATCTAGTCAGATATTACAGTATATTGACCCCTGTTTTCAGGTCATATCCTGTCGATTCTGTCTCTTTTACCAGTTGCTGTTTGCTTTGGAGGATTCAGCTCTATTGGGGCTGAGGTGTGAAGAGAGCAACAGTATAAAATTGCAATTTTTTTTATGTGTGTGTGTGTGTATGACTATCAGTGTGAAGGCCTCTCTATATGCATGTACAGTAAGCATGCATTTGTATGTGCATGTGTATCCAGTTATTTAAGGCACAGTCGGCGCAGTCGTTTATTTTTAGTCCTGAAAGACTGTGTGTGTGTGTGAATATGTACATGTCTGTGGGGATTTGTACACAACATGTATGCGTGTGTGTGTGTGAGTGTGCCGCGTATATATGTATGTGTTTTGGCAGTGGACTGGCGTGCAGGATTAGGAGGCTGTGGTGAGTTTGTGTGTTTAGGGCTGCTGGTGTGAAAGAGTAGTCAGAGCTGTGCTTCCCCCTGGAGAGAGGGAGTTTAATTTAGAAGAACAAGGCTCCTAACACACTCTCTACCACTGCCCTCTCGTTGGCTCGTCTCTCCACACCTCATCCGTCCTCTTTCCAGCTCCCGCTGCCATGCTATAAAAGTGACCATCTCTCCATCAAGTTTCTTACCTGCAGTTCGTATTCAGACCTTTGCGTCTCTTTCGTAGCCTTTCTCCTTCAAACTCTTTGAATTTGGATTAAAGGCTGTCACCTGCCTGCTTAGTGATAATCAGGATTTGTTTTGACAGTTTGGTTTTGGATTAACAGTTATTATGATATTGAATGAGATATCATGTGTCTCATACATTACATTACATTTTCTTATGCATATATTTAGATATTTACTGAAAAGCATTTGAGGAATGAGGACAATGTACATCGTATATATATATATATAGACAGTCAGATGTACTGTAGTCAATGATAAAGATGACCCGTTCCTAAATTTTATTAATCAAAAGCCACGTGTGGGACTTTTCAATTAATGTTGCAGAAAGGAACAGTTGAAGAGTGACATCTTGTGGTTGAATCTAACTGAATTTGTAACGCAAAGGCTTCCTTCCATCTGTTCTTTGTGACAATTAATATCCAATTCTCTGCATCATCACGATTCGTGACCTTTATTTCATCGTAAACACAAATGATATTTAAAGCAGTGCATTTTCTTCTAAAATTAATTACTTTAAGGCAATATATTGTTAAGAAATATTAATGTTTATAGCATTCGTTATTTTAAATTCACTACATAAATCTATATTGTTTATTTATATATTTTGATATAGTTTCTAATATAGTTTCTTATATAGTAAATGTCTAATTAAATACTTTTTTTCAAGAGCGACTCAATACTATGTTCTGACGTGAAGCTTAAATCTTTGTAAAACTGCTGTTTAAAACACAACTTGATTTGTATAAAAACGCGCATGCGAAATGCTAAAAGCTTCTCCTTGGGCTAATAATTTAATTCTCATCTGACTATGTGACTTATTAAATACTTTCTGTTTGGCTCTTTGGTGATTTCAATATAGCACTTATAACACTGGGTGGCAGTGCTGCGCAGCTAGAATTGTATTTTCTCATTAAAGATAGCGGGGGCATCGGAACGTTTGTTGAGGCTTGTTAGCGTTCTACACGGTCTTATTTTGGGTGACATAAAACAACAGCTGCAGAGCCTGTTGTCCGGTGTAGCCAAACACGCGTCACTTGGGTAAGTGCCATAAACTGAATGATTTTGATGTTACTGATGGTTCAAGATAACACTGCTAATCCAGTAGTAACTTTTGTTTACTGGTCAGTTAGCAACAGCTAGCCTTACCATAGCTAACATCAATAGTTTTGTCCCTTCGAGTTTACTTGTACCCAGCCTTTCATATTCAACACGGGACTTTAATGATTAGCTTGTCAGAAATGTATATTCTTGGTTTAGAGATAAACGTCTTCCACATTTAGTATCTATATTTAAAAAATGTTCCAGGACAACAATACAATACAATAACAACACATTTCATCTTTGGCCGCAGTCCGTTAGTCAGAATGGTAAACTGGCAAATTATTCTGCTGTTCGTTGTCATGCCAAAAACATCGTCTTCATTTTTTTTTTCTTTATACAGCACTTTTCAAGCTAAGGTTAAAAATAACAAACCGTTGATAAATACAAAGAATTGGATCAGTATTTGGATTGTTCTATTTTACTTGGCTATTTACAAACAATAGCTAGTAAACTAAACTATTATTGAAAAATTTCCCCAATGCATAATCAATGAAGTCCAACCTTCAAGTTCCACCTTACATCCATAATGTTGTTATTCATTGTGAGGTCCTCTGGTGTTTGCTGTATTATTAGACCTGTCTGGGAAACATACCTGCTTTAACCATTCAGATCTTTGCCCTTAAACCTATCTGGTTTTCTCAGAACTAATGCAATGGAGCCTGCCTGCCGCAAAGACAAGCCAAAGCTGAACTCCACTCCATCGAGAGACAGATCCAGACAGAAATCTGCTCAGCAAGAGCAGAAACAGAGGCAGAGACAGGAGGTGACTAAATCCATCACCTCCTTTTTATTTCTTTTTAATCCTGACATGTACTCTAATTTCTGTGTCATACTGCCTTCTGTATTCACAGATCTATGCTTTGAACAAGGTGATGACAGAGTTGGAGCAGCAGCAGTTTGAGTCTTTCTGTAAGCAGATGCAGTCACAGGGAGAGTAGAGTCCTCTTTCATCTGGACATTTGAAAATCCTATTACTGATCAAATGGTGCTTTAACTTTCTACCATAAAATGACAGTTCCACCTCACTTTTGGTTCTACAGGACAGCCCGAGTGTGCTTCCTGTGACCAACTGTGAATATAATCTCACCTGCACCTCTGTGTGAGAGGCCAAACTCACTTCACCCTATCTTCATGTTTTCAGGTAGAAAAACTTTACAGTAGAAGTGCAAAAATGTCTATTAGGAAAAGTCAGTTCTGCTGCCTTTGTTCAGCCACTCCAACGTGTGCCGTTTGCCTTTACTTGTACGGATTTTGTGGGAAAGAAATCTGAACTCCAAATAATAGTTTCTGTTCAGGAAACGAAAACATTACATTTAGATGTAGACAATGGTAAGAATTCTTTTATAAGATGCTAAAATCTCTACAAAGACATTCATGTTTTGCACCATTTTTGCAAATTCAGTTAATTTAATAACAATTACTACTAGATTGCTGCATAGTGTGATGTGAATGATTTAATTTAGTAATATGCAGACGTCAATCAGATCCTGTGACCATATACGTCCAAGGTGATCCAATCATCTAAATTCTTGTCTATAAACTCGGGTGTTCAGGGTCTGTACATAGATCGAAAACAAATCATATTTGAAAATGAAGTAAGAATGTATTTGTGAGGTATTTGAGGTCTCCAACCACCGGGCCAGGGAGCAGAAGTCCACACGGGATTTTATTTTTAAAAAAAATTATTTTAATTTGTTCCTCTTTTCGATGCTTGATCAGTGTTTGTATTTATTTAATGCAAGGATGCGCCCTCATAATACCTGAAGCCAAAATTGATAAAAGACAGACGTCTTGGGAGAGATTCTTTATAAAGGGTGAAAGGTCAAATGATGAGACAACAGAAGAATTCAAACTACCATCAAAATGAAAAGTTCACTTAAAAGTAAACACCCTTAAGGGTGTAAATAAAATAATAATAATTTCATCAAAATTGTGTGCGTGATAATCAAGTTACATTTGATGCATTTTTATGTTTTGTAATGTGTTGGTCTTGTGTAAAACTGTGTGGCTTCCTGGGAGCCACTGATTTCCACTACATCTTAGCAGACATCCTCGGACCTGTTGTCATTTCGTAGTAAACTCTTGGGTGGATCTTGTGAACAGACATGATGTAATTTGACTTAAAGTTGTTGTGATGGGGCTGTAAGAAAAATCAGTATGGTATGGAGGTATTTATTTCACAACTCTACTTGTATCTTGATGAAGGTTGTAATGAAGTAACTGAAAAAGAACAGTGACACTTTTACTCCCCGGTACTTTGGAAAAGTTCAAAATGCTCTTGGTATTTATTTAATGTGTGTATGGAGGGGTTGCATGTCGAAGCCACCTTTGGCTACTTAAGGTCAATTGTTTACACAGTCCAATTTGTCATATGCCTTATAGTGTTAACAAGGTGAATAAAATGAAGTGGTTTCTCATCTTTTATAATATCTGCCTGTTCTTGTTCAAATGATGTGTGTGTACAATCACCAATATATATATAATCATCCCTTTAATGTTTCAAAATAATCTTTCAACCAGAATGGTAATATATAATCATCCCTTCAATGTTTCAAAATAATCTTTCAACCAGAGGTCAATCACTTCTTTTATTGTGATTTCAGTGGTTACACAGAGCCCGTCCTTCACTCGTGTGGTTCTGGGTCACAGTGCAGAGGTCAGTTGTGATTATGATAAGTGACTTTGTTGTAAGCAGTACTTTTTTCATTGGATTGCACACTTGAATGTGGAACACGTAGCACGTGGAGGCCGCTGATGTGTTTTTTTGTATCTGCTGCCAAGTTGTTAATTCCTCGCCCGTGTCAAAAGCAATATATATCATATATTATATATAATATGTTTAGGTCAGGCTGCTTTAGAATAATAAGTTTAGTGAACCAGTTTCTGGTCTGTAGCTGTCTTATACAATAGGATTCTGAACATTGTGAACGTCACTGAGGTTGATTTTGACAAACTCCCATTACAGTAGATCAGGCGTGGGCAAACCTTTCGGCTCGTGGGCCACAGTGGGTTCTAGAATTTGACCCTGGGGCCAGATCAGGAGTGGATAGATGGAGTGTTTGTGTGAAATAAGATAAATGACGTGGAAGTCAGAAAGGCTAAAATGCCTTTAGCCTTTTCACGCCATCTATTGGGAAAACATGGATATTGCAGGGAAAAGTCAGAAGTGCTATAATGATAATAGAAATGAATAGTGTAATGGATAGGTTTGGTGGGCCGGATTAAAATGCCAAACGGGCCACATCCGACCCTCGGGCCGTAGTTTGCCCAGGGCTGCTGGAGATGATGGCAGCTGTCAATCACACACCTCCAATCACATTTGCTCTTTAGTTCACATTCACAGTCGCCTGGTTTCTCTCTGCACCAACTGTGAGAGATCCAATGCATGACTTATCGTACTAGTGGCCATGTGGTATTATCTTTTAGTTTGAAAAGAAGATTTTACGTCTTTTTAAAGATGAAGCAATATGTTTGTTAAAAGGACAGCTCTTAGCTCTTTCAGAGCTGCTGTGCAAGGATGAAAGCTACGGTTAGTGGGTACGGTGAAGCTGATCTGCCCAAACTCTGCATGCCGTTCTACTTCTCTCTTCCTCTGTCACTTCAATGCTCAGGTTTTCTTTTTGTTTCTACGTCCCATTCAGTTTCCTGTCTATCAGACATCCACAGTAACAGAGCTCCCGGTGACTCGCACCCCATACCAGCCGTCCCAGTATTTGTCGTCTTTTCCTCCATGTTCGAAGGAGATGAAACGCAACCCAGGCCCATAGTCAGAAAATGTGTTGCTGACCTGGAGTTCAGAGAGAGAGAGAGAGAGAGAGAGAGATAGGACCGTAGAGAATCATGAAACGTACAAACTGGAGCTCTTTAGAGATTATAATCTAAACAATAACATATTTTTGGTTTGCTGTGAATTGCAGCTCTTGATAATCTGCACAACCAACTGTGTTAACATACTGGAGGCTCACTGTTATCTGTTGTTGCTCTGAAGCTACTTGACTTACCTGGGGGTAACTTGTGTTTTTCAGTAACAAACTAGATGAAATGCTGACGTCCTGGCAATAGCAGGTGGTTTGGGTTTTATATTGAATTTGATTACATTCATTTTTAAGTTGCAAGCTATGAAAAATATTGACGTTATTACTGTGTGAAGGCAGTGGTGCCGTCAGAAAGCAACACATGTTTAATGTTTGGTTTGTGCCACTCATTTCATTTGCACACAATCATGATTAAAAATGAATTATTTTTAAAAAAACATTTAACTAATAAATATATATGTATATATGTATATATATATATATATGCATGTATATTAAATATTATACTGATGATATTCCGGCTAATTCGAAGTATCAGCGTATACTGCGAATGTTTTACAGTAAGCCCTTCAGAGTAGCTCAGGCGTACTTGTGTCCAGGAGCAGTCGTCAGAGTCGGGGTCCAGTGTCACCGGCTCAGGACTCTGCTCCTGCAGGACCTCCTGATTCTCATCCAGCAAACGCACCGTCATTTGATAAGTGCAGCCACAGTCTGTCCTTCCACTGTACCTGCAAGATGACGTTCCACAGTTACACTGGATACCGTTGGACACTTTGTCCTCAGGGTCGTGGTCCTTACCAGTCCACCACTGTGACAGCAGGCTGACCGTCCAGTTCTTCCGGGGTGTAACCCTCGGCCAAAAGGTCAATCAGCTGTTTTTTTTGACAAGGCCTTTGAAACACAAGGACACAGATAATCAAACTGTCCTCTGAAGACACTAAGACAATGGCTTTTATATTATAGGACATCAGACTTCAGCCAGTACTGGAAAAAAAAACATATTTTCCTGAGCCGCTTAATCGCGTAAACTGCCAGTATCGTCACATTCTCAAGTTTCCAATAGTACCCGAACGCACCTCGTGTGACAGTCAAATTCAGCATGATGATGTTATAATTTTTGTAGCACTAGTGGTTTGAGCCTTTTGTCAAGCTGCTCTGCTCCTGAAGCTAGTGTAGCTAGCTAGCAGATGATGGTTAATCATTTTTTAAGGCTAAACAAATATAATCATTATCAAATCAGTTGAGGGGGGGGTGTGGTTTGATGTGTTGTAGCATTCTGTGGGTATACAAAGGTCCCAGCCAGGAGCTAATGCTGTTTGGGGGGGGGGTTTGGTAGTAGAATTTTTGCCTGATTAGCCACATTTCTTGTATTTGCTATGATCAAAATAAAAACAGGAATAAATAAAGCTGTGTATTTCTGGGGTGGGCTAAAATAAATACAAAATAACACGTCACAAGAATCACTTTATAATAAAAAAAAGGACAATTTTGTAGAGTAGATCTACTGTCAGTGGTGGCTAAGGTCTCATTATTGTGTGTTCAGTAAAAGTAAGCATTTGTGTCTTAACATTAATGAAGACCACAGAAATATTAATATATAAATATTAAATATTATCTTATTTAAAATAAGAATGATATTTACATGGACAACAAGCCCTACTCACTCAAAGGAGGTTGCAAAGTATTTAGTCACGTCTTCATTGTCAAAGTCATGGCCACAGTCTCCTGGCATGTCCTCCACCTTCCAGCCGCTCCCACCGTTCTCTGTCAGCTCCCAGAATTCCAGCTCATCTGGAAGGTGAAAATGGTCAGAGTGTGTGTTTGGTCCCATAGCTTTGAGTTGGCAACTCACCTTCTCCACTGGGGTTCTTCAGCAGGTTTCTGGTCATGGTCACAGCTCATGTACAGTGAGATCTGGACCTGAACCAAAGATTGATCTGGATCAATATCTGGATCTATCTGTAAACTGTGTTTAGAGTAAAATTATAATATTCACTGAGAAGTTACAGAGAAACATCTGTTTAAAGCAGTGATTTTGTTTGTGAATATTTCTCTCTCTCTCTCTCGTTTATCCTTACAGTGCAGCTCAGTCCTGAACTGCTGAGTCACCTGGCACTGCAGATAATGACGACACAACACACAGCACAGTAGATGCAGCACCTTATTGTTACTACTCATTTATTATCTGTACCCAGTGTTATATACAGTATTTGAAGTAGTGCGCAGTATAGTACTCACAGCAGGCTGAAAATCACTGGCTGATGTTTCTTCCTTGTGAAGAGGAACTGGAGCTTCTGCTGCAGAACAGTAGCGATTACACCCTCAAATACACCGAGTGAATGTAGGGCACATTTAGCAAAACAGTTAAGGGGCCAGAGCCCAGTGATGAATTCAGGAATGTTAATGTGTCAACTATGGCTGACGATAACAAAAACAAACAAAAAACACTGATGTTGGTGGGAGAAGTGGGTGGAGTTACTGGTTGGATTTATTTATTTTCAGTCTGACTCAGTCCCAACAAGGCCATTAAGACTGTGTGTTTTATCATTTGATTGCTTTACTTTTGTTCTGTTCCTCAATCACCTGCACACAGCAGACTTGTTACACATGTTTTGGTGGAGAATACAAAATTAGGCTTTATTTTGGGCCACGACACTGAGTCATAATACTGCATAACATACTGTACATCACACATTTACACACCAAATACTGTACCTCCCAATATGGGAGAGTCAAGGTTCAAGTTAAACATCGCAGTTTGACCAGGATTGTCCTGCAGGCAGTACAGTACAACATTCAACACAATACTGTGTCATAAATTAAAAAAGTGGTCTCCACGGCCAAGTCTTCAGCCAACTCTGTTTAAGTATAGTCTACATGGGTGGTCTGTCTTCAGGACCCACCTTCATCCTTCATGACAAGATCATTGATTATTGATTATTGAATGGAAAGATGATGCAGTCTGAACCTGAGATCTCACAGTACGCCTCCAGCATGATGAGCTAAGACACTGCTGTGATGTCCTCACGTCCTGAAGCTGTCCTCTGGAGTGTTAGAATGGTCCGTTCTGCCAAAACCTCTCTGCACAAAACACCCTGAGGTTTCTATCCTCCTTCATCCTAAATATAAGAAAATACATATTCCATATAGTCTGTGTCGTACCTGTATTTCACCATCATTCATCAGAACATGTAAAAAGAGTTTAAGAGTTGGAAGCCCCCCCCCCCCCCCCCCCACCCCCCCCTGCACGAGAGGCCCGCCCCACTATTTGAGAAGTGCTGTGTTAAGGAGTGTGACTTTTTCTGCCTTGGCTATGGCCAGTGGCACACTCAAATCTATTCTTGACTCAATTTTGGGTTGCGACCCATCAGTTGAAAAATCTACACTGTACATCAGTTGAAGTGAGAGGTTCGACTAAAAAAAAAATTACTCAGAATTACATTTAAATTGCAAAACAGAAAAAAAACAAATATTTTAAGAATGCTGGAGATAAATTCAACATTTCACCTTTTGTTCAATTCTATAAAAGAAGCAGGGTTGGCTGAAGACTGAAGCCAACCACAACATAGAACACCAGGAAAAAAAAGTTTGAACGCTCTGTAAAAACAGGAAGAATAACAGTTTGTTAGTGCCTTCGTTGGAGGTGCATAAGTATTCCTGTATTAATGATTCCACAGGGACGAGCTGGCCAACAGGAAGTCCTTGTTCCTTTACCTACAGGAGCTTCAGTTGATTTGACTTCTTTCCCAAACACAGCTGTGAACGTCTCTTCCTGGTTTGACTTTTTTTTAGTGCAGCACCAGATATTTCTAGTCCAGTGATACAACACCCACAACTGTCTCTGCATATGTGGGTGGATTGTTTTAATATTTTCATCTGAGTTTTGGAAATTGAGAATCGCTCCAGTTGTTTGGGCTTTAGCTGCAGGGGAGACTACATCACGGAGCTAAGCTTCAGAGGACGCCTGTGGTTTGAGCTGGGCCTTCTCCATGGTGGTGCCGTAGGGATCTGACCTTTTAAAGAAACCCATCTGGAGGAACACAGAGAAGAGGGAGGTTAGACACAGTCAGTCTGGAGAGAGTTTGATACTCTGTGAGTGACGGTGGGGGTTGGAGAGGACAGTCATTTTATAGACAAAAAGTAAGACTTAAACAAATGACTGCACAACTACATTTACAGTGTGCAAACCAAACGTGATGCTTTGCTCTGCTTGTGGGCTGAGAGATTGCAGGTTTCTGACCCGCCAACACAGAGATGGTTCATTGTTCATCTCTCTACCTTGTACAGTAGATATATGAGCAGGGAGAGTAACAGCAGGCCCGCCAGAACCGCCAGGATGATGATCCACACCGGAACAAAGAACAGAGTCTCTCGCTTGTTCCACATCACAGCTGTCACCACCTGAACAGCAGTTCAGAAAGAAAAATCACAAAACACACCAGGGGGCAGATAAAGTAAAGCATTAACACTGTTAGGAGGTGAATCTCTGACGTACCCTTTTAGATCCCTGTGCCTTATATTTTGGAGGAATTAAATAAGGCATCCTTTCCACTTTGTAATGAACGGAACAGTCCAGAACATACTGCTTGTAGGCTCTCTGTGGACAAGGAATAAACAGAGTACAGACAGTATGAGGGTGTAGCTCAAATTTACAGTATATTTATATACTGTATATATACTTTGTAAATTATACTATGCCATACAGCTACATTTAACCAGTGCTTAACTTTAGTTGTTGTTGGGACACGGAATGTTGTATCACGACCAACCCACAGAGGGCAGTATAACATCAGACGAGGTTGTGTCTTTTTTGGCCTTGTGTTACAGACTTTGATTTCATGTAAGCTCACCTCCATGAAGGTTTCAGCCCAGAGTCTGGAGCGTATGGTCAGGATGACACTAGCCCCCTTCTCCAGCAGCCCAGCTTTACACTGCAGCAGCCAGCAGTCCACTGTAGGACAGCTCTGTAAAAAAGAACAGTCCACGCCATCACTTTTGACTGTTTTAATCGTTAGCCTATAACATGAAAAAGGACATCTTTGAAATACATGATGCAACAACACAATCTTTATGTTATGATGTGCAATTATACGTAACATAATGGAATCTTTATGTTATGATGTGCAATTATAAAAGGTTAATACGACCAATTTCACACACCTTGATAAAATCCCATCAAATTAGTATTTGTATTGGAAAATCAAAATAAAGTAATGACGTGATAATGTTCTGCTACAGAGCAACCCAGTGAATCACTAACTCTAATTAACTTAATATCAGAAACCATAGCAGCAAACGAACAGGAGATGTTGACCAGAGCTCATTATGTCTGTTTGTTCTTCCTGTGCTGAGAGACCTGATCTCATTAGGACCAATGTTTCCTCTTCCTCTGTTGCTGAGGACAAAACACGTAGAACTGTAATAGTTTGACGTCTGATGGTGGGTGTGTCTTGGTCTGGTCATGGTGCTGTGGGACCGTGTGGAATTTTAATGTAGTTCTTTAATGATTTTTGACGCTGAATAGTCTGTGGTGGTCTAGTGGTTAGGATTGGCGTCCTCACCCAAGCAGCCAGCTGTCATTTTATTTTTATGTGTAACAGTCTAAGTGACTTTTACCTTGAAAAGAACTGCTACAGTATTTACAGTATGAGCAGAAATGTAGTAACACACATTCATCCAGGTTTGGCTCACCAGGTTTCGCTGTTCAGCCAGAGGGTCTCTGTACACCTCCCTCCTCTGGATGTTGTGCTCAGTGTTGGATTTCAGTGACAGTGGAGCTGCTGCCTCTGGAGGCTGGAGCTGTGGACAGGGACAGAGTGGAGTCTTTGACTGGACACGGACTGTGGCCTCACAGTTCAGCCAGGCTGTTGTCTGCTCACCTTTAGTTTCAGTGCATTAACAGTGGTTTTTGATGAGCAGCTGAGCGGCCCCTCGGTTATTATCTCCACAGGGTAGAGCAGCTCGTGGCCATGAGCCCTCAGAGGACATCTCACCTCTAGAGTCGACTGACTCACCACACTGGGACCATTATTCACCAGCTGAAACAGAGAGAATGTCTGATTTGACATGGCCGTGGTGCAAAAGGATCCAATGTCCAAGATTTAGACCGGGAGTCCTTAACCTTTTTGACCTTGAGACCCAACTCTTATGGTGCAAAGAGGCCTGGGGTCCACGGGAAGTTTGTTTTAAAAATGTTCTCCATATTTTTTGCTACATCTCTGTATATAGGAGCTTGTTAAAGAACTGACTGATGCATTAGCACCACCACATGGTCAAAAGCTACATTGTAACTGAGCTTCTCATACATGGCCATGGCCCAAGCTATATTGGATGGATGGATGGATGGTTGGATGGATGGATGGATGGACTGATTAATTGATTGATTGATTGACTGATTGATTGATCGATCAAACCCAGACTGGGTAATTACAAATCCCTACTATTGCTGTTCCAAATCTAAGCTCCAATTGCGACACCTAGAGGCTTGTTCAAACTGACTGTTGTTGATTTGGTGACATTTGGTATACCTCATAGACCCACTGGACCTCTGGGCCAATGTCCTGCTCCTCCCTCAGACTCTGTATGACAGTCCAGTTCGGAGGAGGGAAGATGACTTTGTCTGGACGGGAAACGCTGAAAATGACACATACATACAGTTAATATGCCTTTTTTTTGTGTGTTGAAGATTGATGACTGATGACCTCTGAATTTAGGGGTGAAGTAGCACACCTACTGGAATATGGACATGTAGATGAACAGATATGAAAAGACAAGACAAAAAGACAGTAAATTCTCACCCCTGCATAATGACATGTGCCATCGCAGACACATCCAGCTCAAACTGGACCACCTCACTCTCAGAATTGTTTGCATTTTTGCTACAACAAACAGGAAACAAAGACAAACCTTTGGTCAACCTCCTACAACAACATAAACCAATCACTGTAGTGTAATCTCTCTTTAATGTATGACATCATGAATTACCTTCGTATCTGAAGCTCAAAACCTACTGTATTATGGGTATCTTTCAGTCTGGGTACCGTGAACCGAAGACCTGCCCAAACCTGGATTTGACCGACAAAAAAAATTTTTTAAAAATTAGACACGGGAAATAGAAAATCTAGTGTGTATATTCTTCCTTCTGTGATGTACAAGCATATAATGTATAACACCTGTATGTCAAAGAGAAGTTTCTGTGACGGGGTACAGGACTTAGGGGCGGGGCCTATTTAGTCCAGGGTTCCAGTGTAGTACCATTACATCAGTAGTTGTAGCTGCATAGGTAAAGTGAGCTCAGCACTTACACTGCTGCCAGGTTTCATGGGATTCCCCAAATCACACACCAGGTAGCGAGTCTGGTTTTCTGACTCGTAGCTGCACGTCAGCTGCGTCAGCGTCTGGAAGAGAGTCCCAGGCGTCAGATAATGTCGAAGTTATTCATTTCTATCATCATCAACATATGTTACATTTAATCAAATGAAATGTGTGGAATAGTTTTTTGGTGTGTGTGGTCACCCTCACCACGTTATTGCGTGCTATCCCACTGTAATCGGCCTCCGGAGGAAGCACCACATAGAGCTCCGCCTCGTAGGCACCGCCTTCGCCTTCATTCCTCGCATTAAAGATCAGAGTCAGGGCATTCTCATCACCCAAGAAGACCTCCTCTCTGTCACTGCAAGACCAACATCACACCACAGTTACTCTGGTTCTTCTTTAGGTTTGACAATGTGATGCTATAATCACTGCCAGGCTTTCCTTCCACACAGACTAATCAACCAGGCAGATTATCTCTCTCTGACAGGCATGTCCAGAGTTTAACTCAGGGGTCAAAGACAATATTTGAACAAATTAAAGAGGGGGTGCGTGGGGGGGAGGGTTCCAATACTTAACCTCTTGTGTTTTGGATAACTTTCACTTATGGTTCTGTTCAGATATTTTACTCCTTTTGGCTGAGTTTCAGTGAGGTTTTTTTGCAATGTTGCTATTAGCTATTAAAATTAGCATTGCTAAGCTATTTCATTTATCGTTTGGCTTCTTTATATTTATTTATAGTTAAAGTGAAACTACTGCTTTTGTCATATTTTGTAGTAGCTGTTTGCTTTTTCTGAGTTTGTGGGCTAATAATTTGATTATCAGGGAATGTGCTTTTCCGTTGTCAAGTCAGTTTTATGGTAATCTTTGTCCGTTTTCTAAAGTGTAGAAGAGAAAATTTCAGTTAAAACTGTAGACATGACCGAGATGAGAGTTTCTAAATACTCTAAATGTTATGAACTCAGAAAAGTCTTAGTGCTTTAATATTTTCACCAGAAAATGTAAGAATGTACTTGTGGAACAATGGACAAGATCCATGCTCGTTCGCTGCACTTCCTGTAACCACCATGTGGAACATTAGGAATAGTACAGAGCATAACTGCTGGTCTTTTCTACCATTTGGTGACCAAATCTGATGCAATGTGACAAATGAAAATCACCATGACGACTGTAACCGTTTACCTTGGCATAAAAAAAAAACAGACGTTTCAGTTCTTTTCTTAGACCAGGACCTTCAGAAACTTCTCTACAGTTCACTGTGATTTGTCTCAGGAAACTCACCCCCACACTATCCTGCATGTTCACAGTGATAAATCCTCTCGACACTGTGCACCTCTTGCCCTCCCTTAAAGACTCCACTGTGTGGCAGTAAATTCATGTTTCTATTGAGCGAGGTTGGGAGAAAGAAGTCTGGTACGAGGGCCAAAGTCAGCTCTGCTTTCATTCTCCACTTCCTCTTCCCTTCCCCCCTCTTTTCGGAAGGTTTGCACACATTGACCTCTCGCAAGGTATGAGGACCGGCACATGATTTTAATTACAACGCAGTTAGTGAATGCAGTAGAAGCTTGACTGATACCCCGACACCAATGCTGAGGAGAAACCGAGAAGGCTGAGAAACGATGGTTTTTACGTGATGGAAATAAGGAAATCTGTGAATCATTCAGCTCATAAAAGTGTAATGCAATCCAGAGGATACAGACAAACACTAGGGACCAACCTCTGGGCTGCCAATGTTCAACATCGCACTGTTTAGAAAAATAGTCTTGGTTGAAGTGAGAGACAAAAATCAGTGAGAGTAAATTCAGTTAAGTGAAAGTGCTGAATCATCCAGTCAGAGAACTAAAAAGACACTTTTTACACATTTCCGTGGAGAGGAGAAGTCACACAGCCTTATAATAAAACACAGACAGCTGGCTCGGAACCTCTGAGTGTCTGTACTTTTTTGAATGAACTGCCACATAGTTGGCCCGCATCCAATCATAACAAGTATACACGATTAATCCACAACAATGAGTGTGTGTTTGCCAGGGTTTCGTCGTTTTGTCAGCACACTCTGTGTCTGATTATGTCTGCAGATACATTAACAGAGCAACCAAAGATCTGGCATCCCAGCTCAGTCAGGGCCGTGGACGACAGACACCGCCACAGCCCACAGACAGTCATTAAACTTCACTCTGTACACAATACACAGACAATTAATGTTTCAAATTCCTCTTTGGTTTGAAAGGAATTTCAAATCCAAACCTCATCCTTGAGAAACCTTTGTTTTAAGAACAGCATACTGTAGGTGGGCATGAGTACCAGTTCCAGAACCGTGATACCAGGTCCTAAAATCTAAAAGATTTTATATTCTATAAACTATATTTTACTTCGACTTCTTTTTTAAACAGTTTTGAATCCGGCCCATATGGTGTTCATATCATCGTGTGGCCCAGGGGTGTCAAACTGATCTGTAGAAGATTAGCCTGTGGCTCAGTGGAGAGTGTCAGTGTTTGCTTCTCACCCAATCACATCTAGTTTAAGGTCCGGGACACAGACGTTGTCCTCACCACAGTCCAATTGAATGTGTGCCTGAAGAGACAGAAAAATGTAAATGTGAGACAAGAAAAAACCCTGAAATACTCTTCCAGTAGGTGGCAGCAAATGGCTATAAAACAAAAAAGAGAGAGGCTTGTGTGTCTTTCTTCAATTCCTCTAAGTATATCATCATTTTGTTCAACTAAACAAGCTGAGGTTTCACACAGAGTAGTGAGTAAACTGAGGAATACTGAGTAATTTGAAAACATTGTACTTCATTCCATACAGTATACTGTTAGGGACGTTTTGTTCGGTGGAGTGTTGGTGTGGTGTTTTATCATATGTGCTCAAATATAGCTCCAAAATGTTAAATGTTGGGAAACACTGTTTCTGTACAATACCAAAACACTGTAAAAATATTGTTAAAGGCAATCACAGACTTCTTTCATGGTTGCAGAATAGTTATACATGCTTTACATGTGGGAAAGAATAAATTAGAATAAAAAGGTTTGTTTGGAAGGATGAAAGGACGATGAAATCCCTCTGAGCAAATTATTACATTTTTGTGGAAAAGCTTGGATTAAAGAGCAAAGAACTGACAAGCTAACTCAGCCAGCTCTTTTGTCTCACGTAGCAGAGGACAGTAACAACGTTTTGTTGTTGTTTTTTTTTAATATATGTATATATATATATATTATGTGTCTCGTCCCCTAAACATTCCTTTGTTACTCTCCTTGTGTCTGCCTCTCTGCTGTAGTTGCTCACTAGTCAGTGCTTCTACAGCCCACAATCTCCAACATATGGGAAACATTAGAATTCAAAAGAATGCTAGAGAGAGAACCAAAGAACCAACCTGGCAACGGTTAACAGTGTCTGAGCTTAGATTTCTGCTTTTTCAATCACTCTGGACTCACTTGTTCATTTCACACCAAAGGAACCAGAGTCTACAGGACGACACCATGGAATGATGAGACCTCATTTAACTCCCTGTCCCCACCGCACTGTTTGATTCCTGATTCCCTTACCTTTCACGTCCTCATCCTTTGACTGTTATTTATGTAAGCCACATGTACCTTTGTCTTTTGAAGCAGACGTGTCCAAAGTATGGCCCGGGGCAACGAAGCGGTACAGTTAAAGGTTCTGAGTAAATGAAAACCAACATCAAGAAAATAGAAAGTTTTGGAACATATTTGATCAAATGTTGCCCCTAAACATTTGGCAAACTCTGGGTTGTGTGAGTCACATTTGGATTCAATCATTTTTTTGAGGCAAGCGGATTTCTAGCCAATGTTTTTTTTCTTTTTATATATATCTTTTAACATTTCATTTCAGTTTCAGCTATGTACAGTAGGGCAGAAGAGACAGCGGATATATATAAGACAGTTTCATTCATTCACTGGTGCTGAGGAGTCGTGACTGTGCTATGTTCACTTTGCTTTCAAACTGTCACCAGAGAACTGCTTTTCGTTGGTCCAGATCAGTATCAACGTTTCACTTCTTCCAATGTCTGAGATCTTTACTCGGTGATCACAGTCACTCCTTTGGCAACCTTAGCTTCTTTTATTGCTTCCTTGTTCTTAATGATGGTACAAATCGACGCTTTCTTCACTTCTACTGTTGTTCTCACCATTTTTCTAAAAATACCTCAACCACCAAGGCAAATTTTGGTTACGAATTTTGTTCGGGAACCAAATTGTTCAAAAAGGGAGGCGCTTGACAACCGAGGTTCCACTCTTTCTTGTAGCCTGTAACCAACGGTTACCGATATGCTCAGATCGTAAGCTCAATTTCTATATTATTTTTAATAAATTGTTTATTTTTTGATTATATTTACAAATAAATTCAATATAAATCCCTAAACTAAAGTTGGTTTGTTCAGAAAACTAATAACTTTTAAAAGGAACGGGATCGTTTTTTGTTGTTGTTAGAAAAGCGTTGTCGTCAACTGTTTTAGACGTTTCACTTCTGAATGTATTGGTGTCCTGCACGTAATGAAAACTTTTCCCAGCTAAAAACAGTTGTTTTTTGTTATAAAAAAATTCAGGCAATTACAGGCGCATGGCGTACACACTCACACACCCACATCACACACTCACTTAACCTTATATCGCTCACATAAACATGTGCACATTTCCTAAGCCCCGGCTCGTACTTCAGTGGGGGAGACCACTGACAACATACATAAACAAACCACAACCAGATGTCTGAGAGCTGCAGCAGGCCCCGCCCACACACGGCCGTCTGTCCTCCTTCTGTGTTTTTGCACAGCCATGACTCGCCAGTACCTCATAAACCTCCCAGCTCTTCACAGAGTCAATGAAAAAACACAAACCCCACGAGGAACAAACCGGGGGACTTTAACTGGCTCCATCAGGCCTGAACCCTCGACCTCCGACACGTGGGATTAAAAAATATCAAGTGGTGTTTTCTAAACTTTTAAATATCTTCTTTTTTTTTTCTTCCAGTAAACCGCTGCAAACCAGAGGACCGTTGTGAACCGACCTTTTCCGCTGGTTCACAACCGTCCTGATGTTGCAACGTCCTGTTTCCTTTACATTATATACACATCTCTACAGAAGTTTTTCTCCTGTCTGCACAGTTGTATAACTGTAGTAGTATTACAGTATTACAAGAAGGAGATGCGTTTTTTCTTTTAGAATAATTTATGACACTAAAGAATTGTAGCTGATTCTTACCGTCTGCTCTATCAGCTGCTGGGTCTGATAGTTGAGAATTGGTCTGAGGTGATGCTGGGCCGCAGTGACGTGAGGATCCAGACTGAAGTTAAGACTGATGTTGATGGGAGACAGTTTATCCCGAAATTCCTCTTCGCCCTGTAACACAAATGAAATTGACTGTGTGACTGACGTTACTAAAAACAAAGGCACCAGGAGGGAAATCAACTATAATTGAAAACTTATAGATGTTGTTGAAGCTTTGCAGTTGGTCTGGATCTAGGTCCATATATATTGTTGTCTTGCAAAAATGAAAGATCATTTTAAGCAAACTAGTTTATTTTTATTTAGTTTATTTTAGTTCAGATGAGGAAAAGAAGTAGGTTTTGACCCGGTGACAAAGTTAGTCTTTTAATTCTACAGTTACATTTCAGACGTGTTATTTAGTGTGGTCATTCTAATGAAGTTCTGGTGCCACGATTATGCACACTGTTCATTATTGATGGAAATAGTTTGCAGATCACAATTTTGTTTCCCTTTTTTTTATTATGTTTTATTCAAAACAGAAATGTACCATAGAAACGGATTGTCTTTGTGTTTGAACGTCTACACGTCTTCAGCTAAATAGTAAACATGTTTTTGAGCCTCTTGGCTCAGATTTCTTGACCAAACTGACTCTTCAGCTCAAGTGACAACAGAAAGTTGTCACTTGTGCAATTATTTCCAGCCTTTCTGTAAAGTCTGTGTTTAAAGTGCATTTGCAAGAAAAACACCACTGTTACATGATATCCAATCAGAAGCAGATGTTTCTGGCTTAAATGTGGGCTTCAGTCTGCTCTGCTCCTCTTTTAGATGCATGGGATGCACATACATTCTGTACGACCACCCACACAGACGTGGTACGGGACACAGGAAGACGTGCTGACGACAGATTAGTACTGTATGGACCGTCAGGTGAATGGACACTTGTCTGTGGACACTGTCAACAGCAAAGTCCTGATTTCTGTCTTTACAGAGAGCGTCCACAGACATGGCTTCAGCGTGTCTGTCACATGTGCTCTTTGTTCACACTGGTCACTGAGTGACGAGCAGACTGATACTGTAACAGTTTAACCGCAGCGTGAACTTCAAACAGAAACTCTGGACGTGTGTCTGTTAGGAAATGACCTGAAGAGCTGCAGGCACAAAACAACCTCACTTTGACAGACTTAGAGACTGAAGGATATAAAGCAACTCCTAGGATGTTCAGGACGTGAGACAACCACTACTGTTGTTTACAGGGCACGGTTGGCTTGGGCCCAAATTTCACCTTTTAACCTCCCTACCTCAAGATCAGGGGAAAAAATAGGACACTGAGGCAAAACTCTCCTTTACATTGAATTGAAATATTTAAATTAAATAATTTATAGTCATACCGCATGAAAATGTGACTGGAATTCTAGGAATAAGTCATATAAAAACTATCCAGTGCATTATCTGATGTGGTGGTGTTCAAAGTGGGGGGCGCCAGGGTCCTCAGACAATTGGAGGAAAAATATGAATATATTTTTTATTTCATTTTTTTATTTTTATTTATAACCATTTGTCCTCAACCGGTCAATGCGCAAACGTCTGTAATTATCGGATTCTCAAATCTCCGATGGTACCTGAATACAACTCGTGTACGGCTGTAACTTTGGTAGGAAGGACATCATAATCCATTAATGCATTTGTGCTGAACATTTGGCTTAAATAGTAATATGTATATTAATATTGAGGTTCTACTGACCCGTAAATAGATGATGGTGTCATGACACAACAGTTCCCCCTTGTTAAGGCTGAGGTTCTTCACCAAACTGGGCTGCTGAGTGTCCAGGAACAAAGTTCTTCTGGTGGATTCTTTCTGATTTTTCTTCTTACTATCCAGCTGAATCTCAATGACAAAGCCTTGACGAGAAACAAACACATTAAAGTTAAAACACGTCTTCATGTAGTCAAAATGCAAGACAAGTGGAGTCTTGTTTTCACAACGTTGTCAGAACCAGAGTTTAGAATTTGCCACATGCAGCCCAGACACAACCTGAGAGTGGCCCAAACAAGTGGGCCAAAGATGTGGTCATCTAGAAATGTGGAGAGAATTACAACTGTAGATACATTTCTACATGCAAAACGCCATGTAGCCTAGCAACATACCCATAATGCTTCACTTGTGAGTCCAAAAGTGTTAGCAGTATCTTATCCAGTTACAATGAGTGGTTTTGGGTCCTGAAAACATTAAATCTGTTTTATATTTATTTATATTTTTGGTCCACATTTTGTAGTTACCTCCAGTTAGCCACAGAAAACGTAGGGGCCGAGCTGCATTTGTAAATTGTTGCGACACTGCCTAGAAGAACACAGGAAGAATGTCCCAAGACACACAAACCCCCGAAATAAAGACACATTCACACACCTACGCACACTAACACTTAACTCAACTGCAGGAGTCTACCAACTTACCCTGTATTTACACCATTATTCTTTTATCTACAGTCCTACTGCCAAATTGACCACAATGAGGTCCAGCATAGCTGTGGTTCCTCAAAGAAAGTAAGGTAATGGGGACCATCTGTGTTGTGTGTATTGGGTGTGTGTGTACATTCCCCGTTGTTACCTCTTGAAGAACTTTTCATTGGCTCATTCCAAATAGACCTCAGGACCAAATTCAAATTCCTAATGAGGCTCGTCTGAGTCCCCGGTTTAAGTTGTAATTAACACTTAAACCAAAGACTCACAACTCTGGCTAGACATTAACCAGTTGTGGTTAATGCTCAGAGCTCCCACTGAATGGAGGTCATATGTGTGTGTGTGTGTGTGTGTGTGTCTTACCTAGGTGAGAGGGGAGGTGCTTCCCGTTTGCCAGCAGGCAGAAAGTAACGCTGACGCTGGAGGTGAAATAAAAAAAAACAAAGAAAAAGAAGAATGTTTCATTATCGGTTTTGATCGAGCAGCTTTAATGGCAGCTGTGACGCTTTAGACTGTTGAAATTCACAATCCTCATGTGCAGAGGCTGTTTCTTTTTGTGGTAGCTGCTGAGTCAGCCATCCCTGTTCTCCATTCAGCTGGACTACATTAACCAGAGGCAATCGGTGCAGAGTTGCTATGAAGTGTACTGTTATAATCACAGATTTTGCAGGCAGTATGTCACATGTATGGATAGACAGGTAGGTGTGTGTGTATATATGAAGGGAGATTTGCTGATGTCAAACTACATGGCTCATTTTAGGAAGCTTAACCAATATTTTCCAACCTTTTTTTAAGACCAAGTGCACATTTTCCCCTAAAGCTGCTCCACCTTTCTACCACTTCTGCTTTTTGGCCAACAACATCTGCTTTTAGTTTCCAAGGCAGCAAATGCATCAATAAACACCAAAACAAAACTCCACTGTATGAACCTGACAGTGAGAGTAAGGCAGACTGTGTTTTTCCCACAGAACTGTGTGTGTTTCTGACCACTTGGACAAGAAACTGGTGAACATGAAGTCATTTGACATTTTCATTAAGCAAAGTTTAGACAACTAAAGTTGGACTGTGATGTGGGTTGCATAACGTTTGCCAGACTTTTCCGTGTCCTGTTCACACAGCTCAGAAATACATCACAGAAGGACTTCTTGTTCAAACATGAAAGACCTCCACTGTGTATGTTTTGGATCAAATGCCTATGTGTTAATCAACGGTGGAATTGGACTTTACCAAGACACATTAATGGTCTGGTCCACGGTGATCAGCTGGCATGTCTTCTCCTCCTGGTTGAACATGGAGGGCTGCACGGTGAGAGAGGCACTGGCGCTCACTATTGGACGAGCCCTGAGTGAAATCACAAGACATGTTTCAAATGTTTGCTTAAGAAGACATAGAGGGAAATATTGATTTTAATCAAAATTAACACATTAGATGTTTCTGTGAGGGGTTTCAGTTAAATGAAGTGCACTGATTGTGATCCTGATGTCGAGGATGTTGTAAACTGAGGACCCCCGCTCTATTATTCAGCTTGTCTTCGTACCTGTACAACACGGCCTTATCTGCCCCAAAAGCCCCAACAATCAGGTCTGCAACAAGAGAGACGTGAGTTAGGTGCTTTGTATCCCTGTGTTAACGCTGGTCTCTTGGTGGCTGGGGGAGGAGGGGAAGTACCTGGGTAGCCATTTTGGTCCAGATCCCTATCACCACGCAGAGCAAAACCAAAGGTTGCAGGAAAAGAGTTTGAAGCCCATTGCCCAGAGAGGGTCTGAGTGGGTTGGTCCACGAGTCCTTCAGCATGTCCGTTGTAGATGAGGACCAATCCCTGCTGGTCGTCTCCTCCATATGGACAGCCAATGGCCATATCTGATCATAAACAGGATTTCAGTTCAAACCAGTATATAATTTCACTGTCTTTATTTTGTAGAACAACCTACACGTATGCACAAAAATGTAAAGTATTTAAACACCATGTGTAGTATTCTGTGGTTTCTAATAGTGGTCTACGCCAATGCACAGTATTCATATAGTCAGTCCACTCAAGCTGGGACTGTCACTTCCCACTAAAGTTTCAAAGAAACCTTTAAATTTTGAGAGGAAAGATCAAGTTTGAGGTTTGAAAATCCTGCTTGACTTCCCCATAGACCATCTAAATTAGTTACTGACTGGTCCAGTAGAGGGCACTAGGTACAGCATGAGTCCTCTGGTTAAAAAGAGAGGCAGAGACACAACAAAGTAAACTGTCTGGATAATCACCAAATATATATTGACATGGTCTGCAACATGAATGTTCTGTATTCAAGCAAAATATATAGTCCGCTCCAATGTGTATTGCGTCTTTATGTAGAGCCATTACCATTGTATCCATCCTGGTTGAGGTCACCGAGAGGAGCCAGTGATGTGCCAAAGCGACCAAAAGCCTGCTGACCAAGGAGGTGGGACGGGCCTGGCTCCAGCACCAGAGCACTCTTCTGGAGATACACATAGACTTTGCCTAGTTCCTCCAGACGCCCATCTGACGCTCGACACATGAACATCGGGGCCCCGACAAGTAGGTCATCCAGACTTTAGACGAAGAAAAAGATAGGTCAAATTTTATAGTTCAGCACTGTTAGACCTAAAGGCCTTAATGGACACGACTCTCAAGTGTCGTGTCCATTAAGACACATTACGTAATCATCCGCTCCATTTGCGTTCCGCTGCAAAATTAGTTTTAACAGCGTACGTCAGAATGATGGAACAAAACTTCCTTAATAAATTTATTGGGGAAATGGCGACGTAACCATGAAACGCTGAAGGTAGAGGGCGTCGTAAGCCCGCTGTACTCCCCTTGCGATCTTCTGGTAGAGCAAACTCATTCTTGTAAGTTTGAGGACAAATATTTCTTAGTGACCTACAGCTGAACTTTCATAAACAACTCACACAGGCGTTTTTGGTGTGAACAAACAAAGGGAAATGAAAGAGATGTTTCTCACTTCGTCTACTGAGAAAATATACAAACTGAGTATGTGGTTTCTTTTAAGGAAAGTCCCTTTAACTGACAGTTCGAGGGCATGAGTACATTTTTTAAAAAGTCCCAACAGTCCCGTCTGTTTCTGTGTGTCACTCTCACCCATCGTTGTTGATGTCAGTGGCTGCCACTGCATAACCAAAGTAAGACCCCATCTGGAAAAGATTACAAATAAGAGCCGGTTAGCCTGTAATCACACCATGGTAATTTTAGATCAGTTTTATTTTTCAATTTCATCTTCATCTCTGCCCCCCTGACGTTTCACTCTCCACCACCCTCTCCACAAGATAACGTTTTTAATCTCCCAGCCCTCAAAACTCAAAGGCTCTTATCCTTTTTCAAGGTGAGGGTGTGTGTGAGTTAAAGCAGAAGGAGTCTCTACAGTGTGACCGAAAGCAAATAAGTAAACAAGGCTTCCAAAACTTTCCAGGAAACATGACTCAGTTTCCCCCAGAAAATGTTTGACGTAGGTGCAGCAGATTTGGAAGGTCTTAAAGTATACACTAAAAAAAAACATTTCTGACTTTAGTTGTTTTTTCTTAACAACATCTGGTCATATTTTGTTTCATGTACCAAACCACATTGGAGGAAAGTTATATCACTGGCACCATGACATGTGCACAGAGGTGTGAGAGCCCAGGCAGAATAACTGAAGTGCTAGAACGTTCCTGAAACCTAATTTTAAGTTGTGATTTACAACCAGGACATTAGTGGTTGTGGTAGTGAGGAAGTGGTCTCAGCTGAGGACAGCGTCCTTGATTTTTCAACATGGGAAGTCGCAATATGTGTTTTATTCCCAAAATAGGCTGGGTACCAGAAGTGGATAATACCATTAATACCAGTTTTTTAAAGCAAGGCACATCTTCATTTCCACCTTAAAGTAAATGTAATACTTTACTGTAATATTTTCTACAGCAAAATTAATTAAATGTTTTATTCATTCTGACTGATATTGCTGGCGTTAAGGCAATGTGTGAAACCTAGAATATCTGTTGGAAAGTACAAAAGAGATTTATGAGGACATCTATGAAGGTAAACTGTAACCAGTAACCTTGAAATGATCAGAAAAAAACTTAGAGGATGGTCCCTACCCAGACATTGACTTACCTGCTCCCCTGTTAGGTTGAGCACAGTCTTTAGATCCCTCCGATTTAAAATGGACACCTATGGAGAGGAACAAGTCATTGTTAATGAGAGACAAGTCGTTTGTCTAATCAAAAGTAAAAGTATAAAAATGCAAGGATTCCTTACTAAACCATACAGCATGAGTCCTTTTGGAACTCCTGCAACCAAATCTGTAACAAGGACAGAAAGTGTCAGTCTGAATGAGAAATCTTCCTGATAGTTTAATACAAGGGGTTACTATAAATGAGCCTCACCTTCCTCATCATCACCAGTGAACTCCCCAGCAGCTACAGAGTAACCTGACAATGACATAAACAGTCAGAGAGACATTGTCTCATCACCTCATGGATCAGAGCGGGTTCACGTGCTGTAATAACTGCAGGCCAAATTAATTTGGCGGGCCAGATCACGAAGACAAACGGGGCACATCCGGCCCCCAGGCCTTAGTTTGCCCATGCTTTCCCTAACCTATGATTTCATCAATCTTTATAATAATTATCTGTTAGCCTTAATTCCATTTATTTTCTAAAAACTTCATTATCATTGGTTGGACTGCATTCATGAAACCCTCCTTAAACAAGAGAAGTACAAGAAACATCTAGAGTCCAGGCCAGAAGACAGGGTTCGATAATAATAATCAGAAGAAGAATCTTACAGTCACTAAGGTTTGAGAACAGTCAGCCAGGATCATTGATTGAGAGACAACAGGTATAAAGAGTCACATCAGGGGATGTGAAAGGCCCACGGTCTCCACGTGCTTCCTGCTCCCGCTCTTACCGAGGTAGCTGTCGTCGTAGCTTCCCTGCGCCTGAGTTGTCTGACTCTGTCCAACCACCGACAGCAGAAAATAAGACGGGTAGTAGGCCTTCACAATTTCCTCTGTGGTGGCTGAGATCACCTGACCTACACGATTGACAGGTCACAAACGTGGTAAAGGTTAACGTTAAACAAGTCATGACTTCTGACCTATGGATCCAGAGTTGTTTTACTGCAGTGATGTAAGACATTGATCCTGTGGATATCTAAAAAAAAGATATCTTCTAAACACAGTAGCTACCTGTGTGTTGATTACTTTACATCAACGTCCCATTTCATTGTGCAGCTAAAATTTTATTTTATTTCTTACTGTAAATCCATGGATTATATTAGATTAACCTTTGATAATCCCAAAGTGGGGAACTGTTGAAACATTGTTGAAAACGGCTGCTCACTCTAGGTCTGAATCAGCTGGAGATTAGAAGCCTTTGTTTATGTTGATTTGATGTTTTTTTTATGTATATTGTGTCTGTTTCCCCATCGTGATTTAAAGACAGGGTTTGTGTGAATTTGGACATTGTAACAAAAACATTGAAGTAACTTCACTGAGTGGTTCTTCCTTCTCACCATGAGGTTTTTTCATCTTCTTCAGATCTAAAAAAAAAAACCCCAGTAACCACGCCAGAACACCCACGTGTGTGATGTTCCCATGACCTCACCTTGCCAGTAGAAGCTGCCTGGTCCACCGAGGACAACCCTGCCGTCCTGCAACACACACATTTGACAGAGCACGGAAATGTGAGCATCACTTCAGCTGCTGACAACAGTCAGAGAAACTGGGTGATCAGCCTGACTGCGATCTCCCTTACCTTTGTAAAGTCAGCACTGAATCCTCCCTGACAGTATCCCTGCCCAGCAGGTCCATGTCTTTCTGTGGTGAAAAGCACAGAGACAAAGGAAATATTTAGAGGGAATCTGTTTTATGGAACTACAGGAAAAACACACAGTCAGTACTCTCTGGTGTACTGTAGACACAGCAGGGATTGGAAATATTAGTGTCTCAAAATAACCTGTTCCATGGCACACTCACATCAGGTTCAAATTAATGAATGAGTCAGAGAAGCTCATACGCAGTAATTGAATTACCACAGTTAGTGTACTTCAGCAGTAGTCTAATTTGCTGAATGACCACAAAAGATTTATTTAATTTTCTCAAAGAAATTTAAAGCTAGAGAGAACGTTTTTTTCTTCATCAAAATGTATCTTTAACTTGCAAAAAATAAACAAATAATGAAACCAAAACAAAAAATGAATACATGTGTAGCATTAAAATAAAAAACAAAACAAAAAAAACACAACAGCCTTAAAGCTGAAAAGCCACTGTCAGCTAAAGAGCTAGCCGGAACTCAAACGAAACAGAAATAAGTTAGAAACTAAGAATGAGAAAGAGAACTATGTAGGCATAACAAAAAGATAACATTTAGTATGATATAGGGAAATGTGCATACAAATAATTTGCATGGCTTAAAAACAAAACATGGAGGAGTATTTACAATCAAACATTAGCCAAATGTAGCAAGATCTTATATATACTGTACATATAAAAATAAAATTAAAATTAAAATAAAATAAAAAAAAATTTTTTCAAAATGATCCACAGAAGGGAAGAATTAAAACTAATATCAATGGACATTGTTCTACAGATGAGCAGCTGTAATATTACCTGTGCGACAGGGGGCGTACTCCACAAATGTTTGAAGGCTGTCTACAGAGAGGTAGCAAGTTCCTGTCATGTCAGCAAAGGCTGTGTCGTGTTCAGTTCTCCAGTAATACCTCGGGGCACAGGCCTGGAATATGGAGAAAGTCCTTTTGAATTAGTTTTTTTTTTTTTTTTCAGTTGTTCAGTTGTCGTATGGATGTGTCTGCATGAAGGGGTGCGTGAAGGTGGTTGGTGTGGCATTAGAGAAGGTAAAATGATATGAATGGAACAATGTTACCAGAATGTTAGTTCCATGAGAACGCACAGTAGCTCCAAACCACTGGTGGGACTTGAACTCAACCTGAGTGTTTTCATCGTTTACATAAAAATATCGATCACCTGAAAGACACAGAAGATGAAAGACATTGTTGGGAAACTAGCCTAGCGAGTGGTAGCCTAACATAAGGCTATATATATATATACATATATTTATATATGTGTGTATATGTTATATATGTGTGTCTGTGTGTATATACATACACATACACATGTAAATATATGTATATATATTTATGTAATATGTGTGTATATATGTATACATACAGTATATATCTATATATTTATATAATATATAAACATATAACATACATATATATATTTTTTTTGATGGCAGTTAGAATGTCGCTGTGAAACATTTCTACATGTACGTCGATATCGTGCTCACACTCTGCCAATGTTGCCCACGGAAAATACATAACTGTCTGTTCTGACGTATCGCCGTGGGCTGTAGCCAGTTCGGTTCTGGTCTGTTTCCTTAAACACAACATTAATCTGTAACGTTGTAGTGGAGTCTTGACCCGTGTGTGCAGGTGTGTGTTTATGCAGTGAGTTTTTTTATGAAGTCACAGCAGTCAGTGTGTGAAAACATAGAACAGCTTCGACCCTTTGATCCTTAAACGCTGGTCCTTATCGCTTCCTGCATTCCTGATGTTGTTGATACTCTTCTGGCACTGCCACGGACAACTACAGGTCCTCTGGGGTCCCTGTCCTCCTAATGACTCACTGCTAATTACAGGGTGCACTCATTTTGGGACTTTTGAGTCCAGAGAAAAAAAAAATCAAAGCACAGTGAAAACACCGCTAACACAGCTCACGGCCCAAAATATAGACCTCATGAAAGGGTGGAGTAAGAGAAAGTCTCAGCCACTATTAAAGTTTATTTTTACATCTTTGAGAGGTAATGGCCACAATCTCTGTTTTTTTCTGCACGGTACTTAAAACTTTCAGTGCCAGGAATTATTTGTTTTTGTTTAAAATTGTTGCCACAATTTTTCTTAAATGCAACCTGACTTGTTGGACCTCTGAAGAAAGGCACATACATATACACGCAAAATTCCTCCTGGCAGCTGATTCTCATTATTTTGTTGGTAACGACCAGTGCTTTTCTATGCATGAATGGTTGACTTTAGCACAATCAAGTCTTTTGTTTGTACAAAAGTGGAAATTTTACCATGTTGTAGATGTGAATTGCATTTATTCTTCCCCATACTATTAACCATAGTTTCACAAAAAGTAAGCATTTGAAGAAGGCTGTGTAGAATGTTACCACACATATACAACAAAAATGGGACTCATTTGACCGTTTCTATGCAGACGAGCCATCAGTGTTGGTTTCTAGTCAAAACAGTGAGGTGCTGGAAAAGAAAGTGTGACATGACAGGGAGTTGTACCTCTGACCTCAGGTCAGGGCCCTGGTGCTTAACCTACACTGTTACCTGGAGCCACTTTTATGGCTGGTTGGCGTCACTAGGTGTTTATTTCATGGCCTCGTCTCAGCTGTTTTACAGTGTAGTGAAGATAATGACCTTTGTAAATCCTGGGCCAATGTCAGGGTTTAAGCACTGCTGTAATTATGGTGAAGGAACAATTGGATATTGTAAGACTGTAAATAATAACATGGCTATTTTTCAGACCCCATTTTAATCCTCTGTGTTCATTAAGGAGATCAGACGTCACTCCTCAGCCTACCGTGTTTGTCAAAGTTGATGAGGCTGCAGTTGTTTTGGCTCCAGGGACAGGAAAACACAGCTCCTCCTTCAGTGATGTCAGGCTGACTGGTGTTTGCTTTGGGTGCCCCGATCAAAATTTTGACACTAGACAGGGGGAAAATATGAATGAATGTCATAAGTGTGCTAACAAACGCAAAACAAAAGCTTCAATCTGGAGATATTATTTTAAAAATTGACATTTTGTCTGATTTATCTCCCAATACAAGGGGTAATGGATTTTTACACACTTTCTAACACCCGCAAACAAGTGCAAATGTTATTGTTACTTCAAAAGGTCAGTAGTGGGAGCCGCAAGAAGCCGTTATTTGTGCCAGATGTCAGACTCAAACTCAATCAATGTGTCAGACTCAATCAACACATGAAGGTGATGTTAGCTACTTAGCATTTTGTTATGTCGTCCAAAAGAGTTCCTAAAGTTTGTATAAATTATTGTTTAATAAAATATACTATACTACTACCCAAAGAAAGTCGGGTAAAAGTAGCAAAGCAAAACTGTAACGCTTGTATGGGTGTTAGCTGTTAGCAGACAAGCCATGCAGATTTCTATTGTTTTTCCTATTCCGTTAGAAGGCAGTTAGCAACAGAATGAACAGATTCAACTGTTACAAGGCATTGTATTATGTCTTGTATTATTATTCATTTGAACTTGCTTTTGGTTTCTTTCTTTTTTTTAAACAAATTACATTTTTTTACCAGACTCAGGTGCAGATGTTAAAAAAAAAGCTGTTAGATTTTCCCACTGCAAATGCTGATTTGCTGACTGGAGCAGTGAAAACAGAGATGGTATGTTCACTCAACAACAGCAACCCTTAACAAGGAAGCCTGCAGGCGAACAGCATCAGTAATTGTCAGAATGCATGACAACTACCAAAAACAATCCCATGTGCTGAAGGGAAAACATCAAGTCATACAGGAAGGCATCCTTTTCCTATGGTGTTGTTTACCCACTACACAACAAGATCCTGTCTGTCACACAGAGACCCCCAGTGGTAATTGCAAGCCTTTAAAATGCATGAATTTAATTGGGAACAAAGTATGGTGTTTTTTAGTGTGGGCAAACTGGTCTCCTTCAACACAGCGATTTCTCCACAACATGGCCTTAAAAATGCCACTTTAAAAAAATAGTTTCAAGAGTTTTAACTAATTTCCTCTCAGATCAAACAGCCACATCCATGTGTAGCAACATGTGGGGCTCTGAGAGCGCTGGTTATGAACACAACTGGCAAAGTAGATGATGAAGTAACCATACTGTATGTCACAGGAATTGGTATAAATGTATATAAATGTTATGTCTCCCAGATGAACCAATAGCAGGGCAGCTACATTGAGCAGTTTGGTTCATTTTCACAAAGGCACAACAGTCCAAATAACATGTGAGGGAACTGCTTGGAAATGTGATATGATTAAACAGACCAGATTGTTCTTGATAGTGGTCCAAGACCACCTTGGCAGGGTTGACTGAACTGCATGCAGGGTCATGGGGTCAGGCTATGATCTCACACAGAATGCCTTGAACAAACATGTGTTTTGATAAAAGACAGATCTCTTAGGTGTACTTAGATAGTGACGGGTCCTGGGTTCACTGAGTTTCACCGATTTTACAGAATCACCAACTCGGATCCCAGCAGCCTTTAGTTCATGGGAAGACCTCTATGACCTCTGTATTTGCTTTTATACTTGTGTTGTGACAACGGGATCATTTGATCAGTTCTGTTAGCAGCATTTCTACATGTGAGGGTGGAGATTATTCCTACTGACCGTGCCTGTGGTGCCTGTGTGTACAAGGACGGCCTACTAAAGTAGTAAAAGTGTTCAACTAACATTGCTATAGTTCTCTATTAATGTGCAAGTCGTTCACTGACGTTGTTAATCTGAATACTTTCTGTATGCAAAGTACTGCAGACTTGTATTTAAGCCAAGTTACTTTTGAAACAAGCAGAGAACTTGTGGTTTTTTGGGGGGGGGGGGGCTTTGGAGGTTGTGTTCAGATCTGCCCAGTTTTCTACAGATCAACTGTCTCATCCGTTATAACACTACCATTGTTAAAGAAACACACTGAACACTTCAGCCTTAGCATATTTCTGCAGTCGAAGAAATGCCCCTCTTGTTGGCGACTGTTTCTTTGTGTTTCTTTGTCACTCTCTCACCCTCTCTCTCACATACACACCCACACACAGAAGGGCAGGTCTGTTCCTAATCACCGACTGGGCTGACGTCTAGTGTGTATGTGCATGTGTGTGTGTGAGTGTAATTTTACGTCCAGCTCAGATCATAAGAATGACTACTGTAACATACTTCCTGTAGAGTGAACACTGATGAAACAGTAATATTTCACAACACGCTCTATTTAGTACAACAAAAACTTTGCTTTGTAAGAAACTTTTTCTCATCAAGAAAGGCAGTTTTAAAGTGGGACAGTGAAATGGCACTAGGTCTGAGCCAAATCAAAGGGTGGTTATAAATGTTCTCAACTGTTATAATCCTTTCATGTCCTGTCCTTGTACCAACATGGTCCTCAAACACATGGTCTGACATGGCCCTACATCACAGTGAAGGTGACATAGGCTGCTTCTCATTCTAACATTTATCAACCAGTTCATCACTCTGTCCATCATCTGTCCTTGTCCTCACTCAGCTCACGTGTTCTGATCAGCTAGTAGACAAACATCCTGGAAGTCCCGCAGGAGAAAAAGTGAAAGTGATCAGATGAGATTCATGACATCATAAACGACCACGGAGATAATTAGGGGGATTGGATTAGAGGAGAGTCATGAGGATCGTTGGATGTAACAGGGATCATCTGGACCTTCAGGATGTCACTGTTGTGTTTCTAACTTTACCCTGAAGTACTTGTTGAAACACTGATAAGACCATAAAACCCAAGAAAGGTTTTCTTTATGTTCTGATCTTTACTAAACACTTATGTCCCATGAGTTACTTCCAAGACCAGTAAAGCTGTATCCAGGGATTTGTTGCTGCATCATTTAGTCGTCATTTAGTTGACATAAACATATGATGCTTCAGCCTCCAGTTGTAGGACGTCACTGAAAGATTTTATTAGTTTGGCTTTTTGATTGACTTGCATATTCTCTTAAACAAATGTGTTCATGATAATATTAGCTGCAGTTCACAAATGATTTATAATGTGGTTAATATAACATTGTTTAGTCAATAAGAATCAATTCTGTCCATGAAATGCCAACTAGTGTTCAGTCTTTTATATATATATATATATATATATATATGTATGTATGTATGTATGTATGTATATCTTTAATTCGCTGTTCGTTACAGCCCCAGTTCTTATTTCTAAATATTTCAGGGGTCACAGTGGGCTCTGTGGGTGTTTTGGTGGGACGATCAGACTCTAACATGATGCCTTGTCCAGGCGTTTGGCACTTTACCTGGAAGAGTTTCCGAAGAAGTCCACTGAATATCCGAAGTAACTCCCCTGAGGACCGCTGAAAACTACCCGCGTCTCAGTGTCCAAGTTAAAAGTTGCGCAAACTTGAAGCACAGCCAGCACTACGGACACAAACGACGGAGCGTTTCTCCAAAACCGTAACGAATGAGGTCGTCCAGCAGGAACGGAGCCCATCTCATATCATGTGCGTCTTTTCTCTCATTGAAGTGCTGCAGAGCAAAACGCATCGTCCGTACTGGTTCAAAAGAAAAGAGGACTTTTTCAGATCCCACGGTCCTGAATGATACAGTCCTGCGAACGTCCGACAGATCCGACAGCTTGACGCGCACAGATGCAGAGACGAGTGAGGAGTAAAGATGGGGAGGAGAGACTCGAGGGGGGGGGGGGGTGGTAGGGACATGCAACGACAGTTGTCCCCGACTGAACTTGAAATGTAGGTGTTGTTTTCAGTTCTGCACAGCAGATAATTAAGAACAGACAGGTTTGATTAAAAGTACAAGGACACGGAAAACCGATGGAAGTCAAAAAGTTTTAAGACAAATTAAAATCTTTGTCTTCTTTATGTCAGTCTGCTCTCTTCCCCAGTGGTGTTTCCATCAGAGAATTTTTTTCTCTGTAGAATTCTAAAGGATGACCTTTGACATCAGGTCACGACCAGCTTCTTGATCTGGTATGTGGACAGAAATTCACTTCTTATAAATGTGTTTTCAGTTTTTACCGGAAATGAAAAGACAGGTAAGTTGAAATATGACTCTGCTTCTTTCTATCAGGCTTGTGATTTGATGGTTGCTAGTTTAAATCCCCCTTTTCTTCCCCGCCAGGGGCGGGTGTCTATTTTATTGATTCAGCGTCTTCACTCGTTATGGTGAGTCAAAAATATTCACTGTTTCACTGGTGCTTTAAATGCAGAAGTCAAATTTTATTCTGTTGTTAAACCATTTCTTCTCTAAATATTTAACGTTGAGTTCATCAATTTTTAAAGATATTTTTTTTTTCAAATTTTTTTTTTTTCCATTGAACGCCCCAACGTACTGGCAATGTTCTGTTTTTATATTCCGGCCTTGGTGAGTTCTTCTGCAGCCGTGAACATACAAACACACTCCTCGTGTTATCTGCCAGTCCACAAATTTCACACCAGTGCCCCCTGGATTTCCATTCTTCTGTTTGTGAACAGGTTGAGAAGGTGAAGTCACCTCACCCTTTTAAGTCCTGTCCAAACTTTCAGAGGGTCTCAGTGACCCGGCCACTGGGCCTGAAGCACTCCTCCACTTAGGACCACCTGGATGGCTGTAGCCCGTCCGTGTGGCTTTGAAAGATTTTTGAGTGCACAGTGATAAAAGCTCAGACATCAGAGTAATAAAAGGCTGTCAGGCTGTGAGGGAGATGAAGTCTCTCCCCCTACTCCTCTCCATCCATCTCCCTTTGTCTTCCGGCTCCTCTCCATTCCGTCAATGCTTTCCTCAGCTCACTGTTCCGATGCACTGGTGCCACAGTCTATACTGTGATCTGTGTGGTCAATGGAGCCTGACAGGAGGGAGAGGAAGAGTGTCACAGTAGAGGGGGAGACCAGACAAGCTGCCTTAGTGATGAACCTGAGTTTTTAGTAACAGAAACCTTTGGTTTTCCACACAAATGTCTCCTCCTCTTGGAGACTGTAGTCAAGTCAGTTTTAGTTATAATGTCCAAACTTCCTAAACAAGTCTGTTTGGGATGACTTCTCGTTTATAATGTATTCATCTATGACTTCTTGTTTATATTTTATTTTAAGATATATTTGTGGCTGTTTCCACACAACAGTCAGGTTACATTAATCCCTCCCTTTATGGGAAATTATTTGGTTGAAATGAAGTTTTTCATTTTTGTCACGTTTTTCTTCCCACGACAGAGTGAATATAATGTGACGTGGATGTGGCCATGTTGGAGCTTACCTTTGAAGCTCTTTTGTTCATTTGGGTTTTTTTTTTCCCCTGAACATTCTTGTACAAGTCAAGGCAGAATTTAGAGTGACTCAACGTGGAAAACCCAGAGATGTCAACTCTTCAGCTCCATCCGTCAGCACACAGCTGGAAGTAGACTGGATGTAGTGATACATGACAGGCAGCCGACATGTACAAAGTGTATGTTAACATGTAGTTCTGTTTGTGTTAGTGTGTGGCCTATAGAAGAGAAGGACCTTGACTTAGAGGGAGCATTAGTCACGATGTGCGACCCGGCCAAAGGCAACAGAAACATGGACAAAGTGGGGAAACAGATTTACACACGGACGCAGGAAGTGCACTGTGTCTGGCTGCAGCTGCTCATTCACGGGGAGCATGTTCCCCTCATGTGGTTACAAACGCCAGCTGATGACCTCATGCGCTGGATGTTACTTCATCCAGGAGGTTATATCATGCAGATGCTGCTTTGTAGGCCCACAGATCGCTGCTATATTGAATCAAGCGATCCCACTACTACTCCACCACTTCAATTATCAAGACCACTCACTGTTGTTCCACCAATCACAGACAGCAAGGCCCACAGATTCAAATGTCAGGGGGTTTCCAGGATTGTGTACATTTGGGGTGTTTCTGGGTAATAGAGTTACCAAGCGGTCCTTAAATGACCTCTACTGGCAGCAAGTAAAAACTGCAAAATTACTGGACAGGCTTGTTAAAAAAAGGGGGATCTTCACACACGTGTACTTCAGAGTCATCAGAACCAGTCGGTACACAGCTCTACCTGGAATTACTTTAACAATTAAAAGGAGGAGTGAATCATTTTTATCTGCTGACCTGATAGTCTGACCAGCAGATCTGTGTGACTGCTGACAAAATCAGTTAAAAAAAAATAAAAAACTATTTTATCCAAGTCATTAGATTTGTTATGTGGCTAACCATGCAACCACTTGAAGTCTGTTTGTCTCCCTATCCTTGTGTGTGTGTGTGTGTGTGTGTGTGGCTTAATCAGAGTCATCACACTCACCTGTCTCTGTCATCAGTCTCACTAGTGTCACCTGGTGTCCTGGGTATATATACCTCTCTCCCTCTCCCTGATCTTGGTTCCTTGTTTCTGCTGTCCAGTGAGTTGTGTCATTTTGCACTTGAATTCATGAACTAGTGCTGCATTTGGACCCTACCTCATGGCTAAATGTGACATAAACAACAACTTTTATGATCACAGATGAAAAAATATAACCATAGCAAAACTTTTTCTCTTGACATTTAAGTGTCAAGATTTCCAACATTTATATTAGTGCCGGTGAACAAAGGTCATTCTTTGATGTTTGTTCTATGTGGCTGGGTCTGACCTTTTGCCCTTTTCTTTGACCTCCAGTCCTCTGGAGTTATGGAGAGAGTGGGAAAAGTGTATGGTTACAGGAAGAAATACAGCCTCCAGGTCTCCTTTTCTGAGATTTACCTTTTGGGTGAGTTTTGAGAAACAGGTTTCCATTCAATATTTGTTCAAATTACTATGATTACTATCCTCATGAAATACTCATCTTCTTACTCTATGACCTACTGTAAATATAACTATTACTACTGTTTATTATTTATGTTTTGTATATTTACTGTATCTTGATTGTTGATTGACTCAAATTGTAAGTTGCTTTAGATAAAGGCGTCTGCTAAATGTATTGTATCGTAATAATGTAATGTATAATAAATAAAAATATCACACGTCTTAGGGTCGATAATCATTGTTAGAAATGAACTGATTTAGATTAATTTTAGTCTAGTCAAATATATTAATATTACTCTAACACACCCTCAGTATCAAAGCATAGTTCTTGTCAAAGCATTGTAGAAAATGGCATTAAAAAAACAGCTCAACAATCAGGGAAAGATAAAGTGATCACATCGACAAACAAAACAAATATTTATTAACTCGAGAGGGAAAACTGATGAAAGACCTCTCTAAATATCCTGGAAAAGCTGCCGTAACACTGGCCAAGTCTGGAATTTTAATGTATTAACAGACTGTTACCTGATGACTGAACAGAAATAGTGTTGGGCTGCAGACCAAGAAAAACTCACTTCGGTAAAGTATACTAACAAAACAGAAAGACCAAACAGTCTGGAGGAGTCGGTGGAGACCAAACTAAAATGATTTGGACATAAAGACGTTAATACCGTCTTTAGACACGGGGGAGATGAATGCAATCCAAAGAATGTAACCCAAAGATTATGTGCTGACAGAACGCTATAGGGGAGAGGAAATCCAATAAGGATTGAAAGGAAGGATGAGTCTTATGAGGATCTGAGGAAGAGTTAAAGACTTTGAACAGCCGGCAGCAAAACACAACCATATCCACCGTGTGTTTTTCAAGAGACGTTCATTTGGTTTCAAGGTGTGTTCTCCGGGTGCTGCAGTGTTAGATTGACTGGACAAGCCGTAGTTTTGATGCCAACGGTTCTTTGTGTTCATGTGTTTCTGTAGTGGACTGAAGAGCTGAAGTTCTCCAGGGTCGAACCTGTTCCTAACTGAATACAGCCAAATGATCAGACTGGTGATCTGTGGACTGTCAACTGCCTTGTGTTGGGTTAGANGGGTTAATGTTGAGGACAAATGTCTTTGTGTGCGGTGAGTAATAAGTTGCATCTTCTTCTCCTTCCATTTGATGTTTCACTTCACGTCTTCCCCCTGAGGACTTTCTTTAATTCACTTCACAAAACTGACGCAGGAGCTGGAGACCAACAGAGAGGTTTTTCTTTAAGCCAAGATGGACCCCCCTACAGGGAAACAAAGACAAAAACAAAGTATTTTACTCTCATTGGACTGGGTCCAGTGAGAGAGTCTTCAACTGTGAATATCCCCTTACAATATTAACCTCTTNAAGAACTGTGCTGTACGTGTAGATGTCAATTTTTGCCTGAAAAGTATTGGTTGGAATTTTTTTTGGCTTCAGGTTTGGACTGGAGGAAATACTCACTGGGTCATAGGAACTTGTCATACATGTGAAGATGTGAGATAAGCCCAGACCGAAGGTCACAGAGCTACAGTGACCTTTTGAATTAAATTGTTGGAAACGAACATCAGAATCTAGTGACAAACATCAACGAGATCTGTTTGTGTGGGGTACGAGGAACTATGAAATACTCAGTGGAGGTTTTAATTCAAAGTCTTCATTATTTAGTATTCTCGGACTGAGAAAAGTTAAAAATCTTGGCGACCCTTAGTAACAATGTCTTAATCTATCTCAAAGGATTTCAGCCGTTTTACTCTTACGGCAGTAAATCTTAGCTTCCTGCTCAAAAATCTTCCATTGATGGAAAGTGTTTTCTTCTCTTCAATGGAAAATAATAAATACAGCAACCCAGAATACGTTGTTTCAGCCATTTGATATCCAGATGTTACTCCACCAGAGACTGACAGAAGCCTGTACTACCACTACTGGAACCGATATCAGGTTCTTCTGTCAGAAAACGGTCCCAAACAGTTCCCAGTGTTAGCACCGTGACTTCATTTAGCAGGAGTAAGATTCACTTTCACATTCTATCAAACTTTTTACATTCCCAGAGTGTGGTGCGGTTACCCTGGGGGTGCACACGCTGCCACTAGGTGGCAGCCTTTTTTGTTTTTACCTTGACAAAGTTAAAGTGTCTGGTAGGGTAGTTGACAGGGGACATGGTCCAGGGTCAAATTCAAAAGTCAACCTTTTTTCTGTTGCCTCTGCCTTTGACCCCAGGGGTCAGGGTGCTTAATACAGTGGTCTCCCTCCCTGACGTAATCACATCCTACTCTGTCACGTCTTGGTTCCATTAGGCTGTCAGTCGAGCGGCTTCATCAGTGGTGAACTGTTGTTGCAGCTTAATGAACTTTCACCACTCATCTGTCTCAGCTGCTATATTTCTTTTTCTTTAATCTTTGTCATTGTTATTTCGACGACACAAAGGAGTCAACGCGACCCACAGACCACAGCATGTGAGACACCTCTCCCCAGTGTCGGTCTCTCTGTAAATCTGTGTATGCTCTGGTGTGTAATAAAAGTGTCTGTCAGAGCCCTGCACTTCATGAAGCAGAGACACATTCCCACTTTCATCTCTGCAGACTGATCTTCAGTCTTCTCTGCTTGTTTTGTTTGTCACAATATTAGATCATCAGTCAGCTGCAGCTCCGGAACGAAGCAAAACAAATGAAGTGCAACACCCATGGGAAAAACTGCTCTGAGATTTAGCTCGCAGAACAAAGAGGCATAAAAGGTCTTGAATAATGGACTACCATCAAAGTTTGTGTGTATATACGTATATATATATATATACACACACATATATATATATATACGTATATACACACACACATATATATATATATATACACACACATATATATATATATATATAACCCTTTAGGAATGTCAACAAAACTATTACTATTTACAGTAATTCAGAAGAAAAGTCAAGTTACTAGGAGTAGTGTCACCTACCACGGTAGAGTCTATAAATCCAGACCTGTCTGTGCAACTGAATGCAGCACAGACTTTTCCCATTGCTTATCTTTCGGTTGTTTGCGATATTGATTAGGTTTTACTTTGGTAGATTTCACATTGTATACAGTATATTTGAAATATTCTTTTTTAGCTAGGTACATTAATAAAACTCTGTATCTAGTTCACGTCTTTTTCTGTAAAGACAGTGTGTGTTCTGTCATATCTCTCTGCAGCGTTAGTGTCTACAGAGCAGCTACAGAAAACCAGTGTAATTCTGTTGGAACTCAACAAGTTGTTCTTTTGTTTTTCAGACAGATTATACAGCCCCGTGGTGCGTCTGCCATTTGGATACATGCAGAATGCAGAAGCTAATTGATTTGCAGCTACAGAGGTTAGTTGACACCAACAGCTGTTACTGCTTAAATTTACCACACCAAACAGGAACTCACTGCAATCAGCCAGCCAAAGTAATCTGACTGAAAACCAGAAAACAGTTGTAACAAAGTCTCCTTGTAGCTCCAACCCTGGACGTTTCTGCTGCTGTCTATGACGCAGACCAGTGATGTCCAACCCCTGTGCCGTGGCACACCAGTGTCCCGTGAGAGATCATGAGATAGGTCCTTCTTTGTTTGTCAATGCATAGTGACAGGCAAAACAATTAAATACTCTTCCACTAGATGGCAACAGATGGTTATGAAAAGTTAAAAAAAAACAATAAGAGCTGTTGAAGATCTTTTTCTTCAATTCCTGAGTATATCAGTTCTCACTGATGTACGAATACAAAAATTAATGAATTAGTTAATTTTAACTACTCATCCTTTCTCAAGGTTGCAGTGGAAACATAAGCTAATTCCATGAGTTATTACATGAGAGCAGGATGTGCCATCGTTATCCAAAATAACACTGTATTCATTATAATTATTTCCTTGTCTGATGCTGTACAGTAAAATAGTTTGGTTTTTTAGTTATTGCAATATATATATATGTATATTATATATACATATATATACAGATATACATGTATATATATTGTAAATAGAATAAGATCTGCGTATTCTAAAATTTCACATCTCAGGGTAAGAAGAACAAACTAAGCACAAAGGTCGCAGCTCCATTTGGTTCTTCCTGATGTATTAACTGAGCCACAGGCTGTAAGGAAAAGAATAAAAGTCAGGTCTAGTCTTCAGTTCCAAAAATCATTTTCAAATTCCATTCAGCTCAGTCACCGTCGACTCCTACTCAAGCACCGGCTGTTTATTTGCAATCTTGCAACAACGACTTCCCTTATTTACAAAATGAAAATCCCATGAACCTCATGATGTGAGCTTAAGTCAATCAGAGCTGCTGATGAACTCAATGAGTCAGAACAGGACGACAGAACATTCTCTTCACTTTTATTATAAATGTATAGAAATGTTTACAAAAGATCAAAGAGCCCTTATAAAAAGCATTTATGTTTCACAGTGTTTTCCTTAAATAATAGGCCATTAAAAAGACAAAGAGCAAAATACTGACAACTTTTTTTTTTTACTTGTCCAAGGGAATGTTCCATGAGTTTGAACATCGTCATCAGAGCATGTAAGGAGCCGAGTGGGACTTTAGCTCATCTGTTTGGACAAAACATGTGGGTTCACTCCCTCACTCAGTATGTATGTATGTGTGTGTGTGTGTGTGTGTGTGTGAGAGAGAGAGAGAGAGAGATCATAACTGTAGGGTGGAAAGACAGAGTATTACAGGAGGAAAAGCAACTATTGCTTCATTCCTCCTCAACAGGCCGAATGAGTTTTTCCGAGAAAATCCCGCAGTGACTTTCTAGATCTGCGTTGTGGTTCCAGATCTCCTCCCTGACTCCCTTCACCATGCCTTCCTGTTGAGAAAACAACATATTGTCAATTTCATCAGTTAAAACTGGATGTCCCTTTCAAGGCATTAGTCCAGTTCATAACTGTGCTTTTCCCACAGATAAAACCGGTTCACACCAGTAAAGGTCAGTGGTGCCCAGCTGGACGAGACGGCAGTTGAAGCCCATCAATAATCCAGGACTTTAACTAATAGTTGTTTTTGGCTGCTAAAAGCATAAAGCTGGAACAGTGTGATTATCAGCAGTGTCAACTCATGCTTCAGTTTTCTTAAACAGACCTACAGATCAGAGAAGTCCACCATCAACTGCCTTAAACTGTCTTAATACCTAAAATCTTAGTTATAGACCCTTGCTGCTATGTGGTTTTTTTTAGCTGCTATTGTTTTATTGTTGTATTTGTATCTCAGTTTAAATGTCATTTTAATTTGTTTTTTAATCTCAAATAAATTCCACTTGGAATCAAATCAATCAGCGTGAGCTGCATATGGGATTTTAGCACTTGAAGAATTTAAATTACATTTTCAACAAATCTAAATCCAGAGGAATCAGAGGAAACCTGACATGAACAGAGAACACAAACCTGTGACGGGTGAGTGAGGACCAGGATGACGTCTCCTTCTCCAAACTGGAGCAGACCTTCTTCTGAAGATTCATGGCTCTCTATCGCCACCCCCTGGTGGAAGTAAAAACAAAGTTGTTTTTTTTAAACTTACAGAAAAGATTGACATTTAATCAAATACTTTAACACATTAAAATAATTTTATTATGAATTACCTTCTTGAAGAATTATGGTTTACCTTGTATATGAAGCCAGGTGGATTATGGGAACTGGAGTCATTTTCCTTTCCGTCCTCTTCCTGGTTGACTGAAGCATCTTTTGGCTCCTCCTGTTGGTCATCTTTGTTTCTGGTGGGTCTCTCTGTGCAGCGGAAGGAGAGACGAGGAGCTGGGACTGGTGCCGGTTTATTGGACACTGGATCATCAGTCGTCTCCTGCTCAGGTGTCGGTGGGACGTCGCTGGACTCTTCCTGAACCACATTCTCTGATTTTGAAACTTCTTCCACAGAGTCACCTGACTTGGTCTCAGTAGGTTCAGGTTCAGGTTCAGGTTCAGGTTCAGGTTCAGCTTCAGCGACCCCTTCATCCTCCTCCTCCTCCTCTCTCTCTACCTTTTCTTCCTCTGTCTTTTCAGGATTTTGGTCTGTATCACTGTCAAATTCATTGTCGCACAACGACTGCCTCTGTGGAGTGTTGTTGCTGCCACTGGAGCTCAAGTCAGATTCCGAGGAGTTGACGTCTTTGGATGAAGCGCTGCTCTCTTCTGGTTGGCTAGTTTCAGAAATGCTCTCGGAGCGATGGACCGGGGAGGTGGGCGCTGTCTCTTTTCTATTGTGACCAGAGGACAAAATCGAG